TTCTTTGAAAGATATTCTTGGCATATTAGTTAAAGATAAAGGTAGTGTCAGCTTAAGATTCCTTTTTTATAAGTTACAAAGCTATGATGTGATATTGGAATACCTGATCGGAAAGGTAAATTACTGTCATAAATTGGTCATCTTCCTCATCTTCCAGTGTTAGTTCTGGGGTAGGTTCATTGTCTTCTTCTTTATCAATATCCAAATCCTTCCCATCAAATCCTTTATATTCTGTTAAGAAGGTTATATAACTTCCCTTTAATTAGTTCTATCTTACCTACTATGTTAATTTAGCCTTCTCCTGTTCTTATTCCAAATATTTGATAGATTAGCATCCCTTTTTTTTATATATCTAATATCTTTATTTCTATATATAATTTATTTGTTCTAATTTATATTTTCCACCTTTTTTATTATAATAATATTTCTAATTGATGTAAAATTGTTTACCATTGGAATTACTTTCTTTTTCTATTAGGAATTATCTGGTTTCTTTTATGTTCTTAAAGGTATTTATTGATGTTTAGAACTTACTTATTAGGTCTTTAAATTAGTAAAATGGTTCAAAAAAGGCATGTTACAATTGGGATACAATGTAACATGCCTTATGGACTACTATAATAAACTATTATTCTCCTTTGAAATCTGGTCCCAATGTTTATTAATATAATATGAATTTATCAAACATAGCTTAGAATATTTCCAAATTAGACTTACCTTTGTATTATTTCTCAACCTTTATTCCAAAAAAAGTAATCAACATCTAATTATAGTAATACTAAATCTTGTTTTGTTCTATATTAAAATATTGTTCTATAACAATATATATATCTATAAAATACTAATACTAAAGAATATTGTAAAGGAAGTAAATGGCTGTTTTTCCAGATAATATTATTGAAAATATTACATGGAATTGGGTCTATTATATTCCTATAATATAACATATATTTAGAAAGAACCTAAATTTGTTTTTAAACATATCATATACTTTCCTTATATAATTATTCTCTTTGTTCCATGCCTTTTTGAACTGTCCAACAATGGTAGGTAGGCATATCTTATTTTAGATTCTTATTAATAGAATATCATAATACATTTGTTCCTCTTAGTTATCAACAGGTATAGATATTTATCCATATCCTTCACCTTTTGGCATAGATAATTATCCTATCAGGAAATAAGAAATAAAGCCTTTTACTATATGTATGGGTTCTTATCCTTCTTACATTTATATTAGAAATGGTTGGTATCCCAAGGTTTAAGAAAGGTCTAGACTAGGGGTAATATATTAATCCCTTTTCTATCCTCTTTGGGGAGGTATTATCCTCCTAAAGATAGGATCTCTTTTCACTGTTAGATATGGTAATGAAAACAAGGGTACTTATCCAAATAGGCCAAGGATTATCCATAGATTATAACCTTAATTAAATAATAGGCTATACCCAGGTTAGAAACCCATATTAAAATACCCTAGATAACCTATTAAAAGATAATTAAATAAATATAAATATAAATATCCAACAAATGGGGGAGAAGAAAAGAATAATAAAAATACCTGTTAATTAGGCATTAACAGGTTATTAGATATTAGTAGGGGCTGTGATGGTTATGTTAACAAAGGCTTATTAGGTATTGTTAATAGATTGTTAATGGGGTTGGGTTGTGGGTGTAATAGCAAGTGGGGTAATATGGAATTAGAATTGGCCATTAATGATCTCTAAGACTAATATCTAGTTTTTGTTCTTGTTATATATGGTCCTACTTGTCTACCTTATATGCCTATTACTATTGGTGGTGTTGGTTATCTTGGTTAAAATGGAGTTTCAGGGGATTGTTAAGAGAAAATAAATAAGATAGGATTTCTTATTAGCATAGTTCTTCCAAATAATATTTATTATGCAAGGGATTTTATTACTACCTGGCCAAAGGTAGATATTGGTTAAGATTAGCTTTAGATCAACTTTAAATAAACCATTCTTTGGTTAATTATGATTATTAGAATTTTCCACACCAGTATGTCAAATTATTTTTATTTGACTATAATTAATTCCCTTATATCCCAAATAGGTAATATTTAGGTTATCATGAGGTTAATAAATATATTAGAATATCTGGTGTTAGCCTTTCCAATATATATGCTTTATTTCATAAATATATTTTTTAGGCTTAATTATAGATTAAATAATATTATTTTAAAATTATTAATTATAAAGTCTTTAAATTATTCTTAATAATTTTAGAGGGTCTCTTTTATTATTTATATATTAAATAAGTTTATATCTGTTGTTTTAAACTTTACAAACATCACCAATATCCATATTACTTTCTCATAAATATTTACCATATTCAGGTTAAATTGTTATCATTTAGTTATTATAAGATTAAATTAATTAACCAAAAAGAAAGGTTAACTTATGATCATTCTTAATAAGTTGATTAATTCTTCCTTGGCTATTATTAATTTAATATTAAAATTTTCTAGGTTTATTAAAGAAATAAATAATTATCCCATAAATTACTAAATAACACCTTATATTAAGATTTCTAATTACTTCCCTTCCAATATGGTTAACAATAATAAATATATATATGGAAGAGATATGCTATTATCACTTATATTATCATAAGATATTCTTCTGATTATAGTGGTAATAATTCTTCTAACCTTGTTAATCTATGTTGTTAATGTTTAATAATATTAATCAATATTAATAGATACATATATAATTAAGAAAATATAATAATAAATAAAATAAAATAATGAAATAAGATAATATATATTATTATATTTAAAAAAGAATAAATCCTCTTTAAGATTATATATAAAAGATTATCTATTTATATATGGAAATATTAAGATATAATATATTATATTATCATATAACCATCAAATTATAAATATTTCTTATATATTTAGTTATTTTTTCTTATAGTTTTTAAATTATTAATTTAAAATTATTTTAATAAATATAATAAAAGGATTTTAAGCCTTTCTGATAAATAAAAAATCTAATTAATTATTTAACCTATTATTAATATTATTATCTTTAAATTAAGATACCTTAGATTAACTAATTTAATAATGATTATATTTTTTAAAACATAGGTTTGTCATATATCTTTTTTATTTAATAAATAACATATTTTTTAATAATAATTTAAATAAAATAATAATTCTTAAAAATAAAGCTCCTTAACCTCCTTTTTTAGTTCTAAATAACATTTCTTTTTTTTAATTTAAATTATAAAATTTATAAAAATTTCTTTTTTATTATATAAAATATTAATAATCTAATATTTATAATATTAATAAATCTTAGAAATGATTTTATAAACTAAATTTTTATTAAAATAATAAATATATAATATTATCTTAAAGTTAGTTTCTTTAATTTAAAGAATTAAATATTAAGAATGTCATAAACCATACGTGCTTATAAGGATGTAGGACCTTAAAGGAAATGTTTTTCTTTGCTGAGGTGGGGTAATGGTAATGGGAATATATGACATATGATATAAATAAGTATAAATAAGGATATCCAGTTTTATCCAAGGAGTATAATATGGATAAATATAAATAAAAATAAGGGTATCTAATCTTATTTATAAAGGAAGTAATAATAAGGAATATTTATATAATTATCACATTTTTTATATATTTGGTTATTCTTTTAATAACTTTTTAATTATTAATTTAAGATTATTTTTTTAAATATAATAAAAAGATTCTAAACTTTTCTGACAAATAAAATATATTTAATTATTTAACCTATTATTAATACTGTTATTTTTAAATTAAGACATCCTAGATTAACTAATCCAGTAATGACTATACCTTTCCGAGGCATAGGTTCATCACATATAATAATCAATAAAAGATAATTTAAATTAATTATTACATTTCCTTTTATTAATTAAACTAAATAACATCTTTTAAAAAAGAAAAAAATAATATTATAATTTAATATTTTATAATCATATATTTATAAATTAAATAAAATATTAAATAATTAATTATAAAAGAATTATAAAAAAAATAATTTACTTTATTAATTAATAAAGTATAAGGGAAGAATATTCTCTGTTTAACTTTAAAATAAGATAAAATAAAAGGAAATATTATTTTATTTAATATTAAAATAAAAGGGAATAAAAGGTAATTAAAAAAAAGATATTAAATTATATAATCACAAATATTTCTTATATATTTAATTATTTTTTTTTATAATTCTTTAATTATTAATTTAAGATTATTCTATGACGAACCTATGTCTCAGAGAGGTATAGTCGTTGCTGGATTGGCTAATCCGGGGTATCTTGATTTAAAGGTAATAATATCAATAATAGGTTAAGTAATTAAGTACGTTCTATTTGTCAGAGAGGCTTGGAATCCTCTCATTATATTTAAAAGAATAATCTTAGGTTAATAATTAAAAAATTATAAAAAAAATAATTAAATATATAGGAAATATTTATAATTATATAATTATTCCTCCTTCCCTTTTCATCTTGAGGTTATTGCGATATGTTACGATGTGTTGCGATGTGTTGCGATATGTTGCATCTTAGCATATCAAATCGGAGTTTAGCTGTGATAGGTTGCCCATACTCCATCCTTCGTGGTCTCAACAAGGGTCCTTCGTGGCTGGTTTGTGACATATTCTTATAAGTATAATTAAAAAATTTTAAGCCTCTTTAATAAATAGAATTTATTTAATTATTTAACCTATTATTAATATTATTATTTTCAAATTAAGATATCTTAAATTAATCAACTTAATAACAATTATATCTTTTTAAGGTATAGGTTTATTATATTATATATAATATAAAAATATTTTTTTTAATTTTTAAAACTTTTTTAAAATAAAATTTAAAAAAATGACATAATATTTTAAAAAATCTCAGGCATTTAAAAAACACAGTCCGAAAACCACAGAATACTGTGTATATAAACTGTAATTTAGCGTAAAAACATTCAAAATGGACCGGGGTGGATTCTGTCGCAAATATGTAGAAATTTTGACACCAACCTTCGTATATCACACATAGTATCGCTGCAACAAGATCGTTACTTCTCTAAATTACACCATGCCCCCGTCCGAATCTCGCTTCACATCACAAAATAAGACAACGCAGGAGCGCATATCTACCAATACCGTCGGATTGGTAGCGTTGTCTGACTTTCGCAAACGACGTGCCGAAGTACTTGAGCAGCAAGAACGCGAAGTGCGAGAAGCTATCGTTACTGGGTCTCCTCTAGATACTCCCGACCGTTCTCGTACCGGCACCCCAGATGATACTAGCGACCCCCCCAATCCACGCAAAAAGAAATTGAAGAAGGAGAAAAAGTTGGCTAAGACTGGTGGGGCTAAATTGTCCTTCGGAGATGATGACGAAGATACCACTGGCAATGACAACGGAGGAGATGGGCGGGACGACCACGGGGAATCTCGAGAGAAGAAGCTCAAGTTCAAAGCAAACTCGTCTGTCTCGGTTGTTCCACGTTCGGTAACTAAATCAGCTCTCCGCCGGGAGGCAGCGGAAAGAGAAGCCCTACGACGCGAATTCCTGGCCCGCCAAGAAGCAGTCAAGATGACCGAAATTGCGATTCCTTTCGTGTTTTATGATGGCACCGATATCCTTGGGGGTGTTGTCCGTGTTAAGAAAGGAGATTTTGTCTGGGTATTCCTTGACAAAAGCAGGAAGGTCGGTGCCGATTTAGGTGTAGGTGAAAAGGCGAATGCGAGAAGGGAATGGGCACGAGTCGGAGTGGACGATCTAATGATGGTTCGAGGAAACATAATTATTCCGCACGTAAGTCTCTTATCTGTTCATTTGTCTCTTTGTTGATTCTATTATATCTATCCTACTCCCCCTCCTACTATTTCGGTGTTCTCTACAAAAATCCCGGGACATGTACCTAACCATGTTGGATATATAGCATTTTGACTTCCTGTTCTTTATCATGAACAAAGCCGTTGGCCCTACTGGTAAACTGCTTTTCGACTATCTTGCTGAAGTACCGGAACTAGCCTCGTCCCAGGATGTTAAAGGTGAGCAAGGGCAGGCTAAACAGCCATGCCAAATTGTTAGATCAACCAGAACGCAATCGGATATAGGTGAGCTCGAGGGTGCCTCAGACGACCCAGCTTTCACCAAGGTGGTTGACCGAAGATGGTATGAGCGGAATAAGCATATATACCCCGCTAGTGTCTGGCAGGAGTTCGACCCAGAGAAAGATTATCAGAAGGAAGTGAGACGTGATCTCGGCGGGAATACGTTCTTTTACTCCTGAACATCTGGGCGGGCCTCACTGACCAGTTAGCCATTCTTCGACCTCGACCCCGATAAGCCCGCGTAGAGGAATAGCTGCAAGTTCATATACGTGCTCGTCTGGTATCACTAGTCAGGAAAACTCGAGTTATGACCTTATACCTGTTTGAAGGCTACTTACGAAAAGCACTTTAATAGGTGATATTACCCAAGACACAATTTGGTCGCCAATCCGATCAATCCCAACACCCACCAACCTGGCCAAAACAAAAGTAGGCATAGTTGGTTACCACTCGACCCAAGCATCAGCGTGAAGAATTCAAACACGACCTTCTTCCGCAAACGCTGAGCTGTTTTTGTTTCCCAGAGCATTATCCCTAGAGTGGTAATATGGTACGAGAATGTTCCTAAAATTGCATAAAGCTGGCAGGCAACAACCCGACCCGCAAAGAGTGTTTGCCATGCTAACCAATGAGCCGGGATATAAAGGGACAGCGACGCCACGCTGAGTAGCCGTTGGCATTGGAGAATGGCTGCTAGGATAGGCGCAAATATTGTAGCTATATTGGAGCTTTGCTGTATCATCGCCCGGGGTTCCTTAGTTGAAGCAGCGATAATGGCCACCTTGGAGAGATCCATTGCGTTAGCCATGGCATACTTGTGGAGGGCAATGTGCTTGTCGGTGCCCGGCACCAGGACATCCGGGAGGTCGAATATATTCTGAAGGGAGTCGTCCCTCTAAATACCATGCCTCTTTTTAAGGGATGCATGTTTCACGCAGGAAGATGGGAAAATCGAGGTAGGGGTGTATGTGTGTGAGAGATGCAGTGCAACCAACCAATAACCACATCGGATTTCACTACCATCCTTCGTTTGAAAAGGCCTTAGATGGGTCTTTCAATTTGACGTATCGTGGAGTGAAGCTTTACCATGAGACCTGACTAGAATAGTATCCCGCCTCACGGCGCAAGCCTAGTCAACGCCATTCCGATGTAGCATAGGGAATGACAATGTGCTGCTATATTGCCGAATTATGCAATTGTGTGTCCACGTGTAGTTTCCCATTGGTTGTAACGGCCGGTATGAGAGGAAGATGGGGGAGTGGAGGATAAGTGGTGAATTTTGGTACACAAGTCAAGTGTAGCCAAAGGAGAAGATGGTACTGCCTCGAAATGGATAAACCTGGTAGATGTTTGTTGTACCCCCTTGTCTCTTCTATTGCCACTTGAAGTTCACGAGGGCTCATCAATAGGCCTATAGGCTTAGAATACCAAAACTAGGAACGAGGACACTTAAATTTAGGAATGTCCGGGTATTGGCTAGGCGAACGTAGCCGCCATCTCACGGACTTTAGAATCTAGACCCGCAGATCTCGGTAGGGGAGAAACACGCACGGCGTGCCAATTGCCCGGAACGTGCTGTGGTATGATTGCTGATTGGCCTAGCGATCCTTGTAGGGAATTGCATATATCCGGCACCGGATCACTTTTCGGATCGGGATCCAGTTTATATATCGTGGTCTTCTAGTCTCGGCACTGAGATTACTTACATACGATGTACGTCGTCCGAGAAGTAACATTAGCAAGTGGGAAATCTTATAATCTATCCCCACGTATTAACAGAAAAAGCGGGAATGATTTATAGACGCCCAGGCCTTTGTAATCGAGAAAATGGGTCAATGGTAAAAGGTTAGGTGTTTACAAATATACACTGATAATTCTTGTTGAATATTAACTTCGCTGCTTATAGCCCCTTGAGAGGTAGAGCGCAATTGTATTTTACCATGTGTTTTCTACAAATGAAACCAACGCGAGAGATGAGAGCACTGCCCACTGCCCATGCTTGGGAGGTTGGAAACAAAACCCTAAAACTACAGATGCTCTCAGGGGTATCGTGAGGCCACTATGCTAGTTGGAATTCTACGGCCCGGCTTGATATAGAGTACATATCTTTCTATAGTATGAAAGATAATCAAGATCGACTGGCTAAACACATTTCAGCGAGAAACGGTGACGTGGTTTACCAGTTCCTACGCCCGCCGCGACCACGACCACCAAACCCGCCTCCGCTTCCGCCCCGGCCCATTCCTTGCTCATAGCCAAAATTCTGTGCTTGATTGCCGCCAAACCCCTGGCCCGGTGCTCCGAAATTCTGATTTTGATTGCCTTGACCACCCGCGGCATTACCCCCGGGGTTTTGCATACCCGAGAACATAGCAGACATAGCTGAGGCATCCATCTGGCTCGGGTCAAGCCCCGACGCCATCATCTGCTGCATCATAGTTTGCATCTCGGGAGGCATGCCGTCCATCCCTGGCATATTCGCCATGGAGCTTGTTGTACCTGTCCCGCTCATCCCCGGCATCCCACCCATCATCATCATTTGCATATCTTCCATCATTTTCTTATTATTCTGCGCGATCGCGTCCGAACTGTATTCGTTGCGCACGTTATCCTGCTTAGCAGCGTAGAGGGCCCAGGTGAACTCGTCGAAACCGTAGTTGAAGTAGTCGCTTAGGTCGGTGCCAGGTTTTCTCCAAGGCTTATCGTTCTCAGCTAGATCTTTAATGGCATATGTTAGTCGTGGGCGCGTAGAGGTGAGAAGAGGATGGGTGGCATGAAACGAACCTTCATCGATATTGACTTGTGTGATAGGTTTTCCTACGGGTTTATAGACCGGAATTGCGTTCACATCTACTTTGGATGTGGAGACAGGAGGTAGCTCGGAACCCGATGAAGCGCGCGACGTCGTATCCTCCTTCTTGACAACAGCGGGCTTAGTCGTCGCGTCACTTGACGCCGACCTTTGAGGAATGTTTCGTATGTCGCTATACCGCGATTGGCTACCGAATATGTAAGTAGAGTTGATGTTGATAGAGGGTAGGAGAGAAGGGATGACCCACGTTTGCGGAGGAGCGTTGGTGCCGTCTTTTCTTTCTGTAATTATGTCTATGTCCTATAATTCGGATGTATTAGTTCAATCTACATATATACTGAAGATGCTGATGGAATAGGTAATCTCCCATAATCGCAGTACGTACCGAGTCATCCTCATCCATATCAGCGCCCTCATCCTCTTCTTCGCCTTCTTCTAGATCTTCTTCATCGTGCTCCTGCTGTTCTTGCAACTGTGTCCGCGATTGTATGGGTATAGTTGCGTCGGTAGTGTTGGTTGGATCTGTATGGTTTTCATGGGTGGTAGGCTCATCGGGAACGTAGAAATCGTCATCATCGTCAATATCCATTGTATTTTCAGGGTCCTATGAGTTGCGAATGGTATGTGTTAGGTAGGTAGCTGTAAAATCCGAATGTCGAGGGTGTCGCAAAGAATGTTGTTCGCAGTTCTGCAGGGTTATCTTGTAGAATGTGGGGATGTAAAGTAAAGATTCCAAAGGTTAGCTACAGAGTGCTAGGGCAGGGGGAGGGGAGTGGGCGTAGAGCTGATTGGAGAATTGGAATTAGCAACATTTGAATGCTGCATATGGGTAGGTAGCTACTGCTTACCTAGGTAGTCGCGAAGCTATGGCCAGGTTATAGCTAGGCAGGTACCTACCTACCTAGGTAGGCACTGTAGGTAGGCATCTAAGATACCTGTAAGCTAGCAACTGCCAAGGAGATAAGGTACCTACGGGAACATGCATACACGCTAACACCATATCGGAACGCGACTCAAGCGCGGAAAGGAAGAAAAATAATCGCATTCTCACTTCCAAGGTTTCCTACATACATTCAACTAAACTTATTCACCCTTCATTTCATCATCGCCTCCTCCACACATATACATAAATACGCTCACTTGCATACACCCCATGTATAAATCTCCATGCTCTTGGGTATGATAGGTTAAGAGGTATGTGAATATGTCTTATAATGCATATTATATATTTTTACTTCAAGCAAACAAAGGTGGATGCTAACTGCGTGCTCAGGAAACACCCAACATTCCACACCAGCCATCATGGCCCTATCAAGATCAGCTAGTGGTCCTGGTGGCCTGTCCATCAATACATCTTCAGCCAATCTTTTGTGAGTATATATTCTCTGGTCCTTTGTTCTTGTCCTATAGCCATTACATAGACTGGCCTCTCCCAGCCTAACTTCCTGCAACGAACCGAGTCCCCTTCACATATACGTCATAAACAGGAACTAACCTTGAACGCGCAACACAGTGGTTCCGCCAGCAGCCAGCCTTCCGCACCCGGGGGTCTATTCGCGAATACATCGACTACTCCCAAGCCGTCTGGATTATTTGGTAACGCTGCGTCCTCCATGGCTACCACCTCGCAATCACAGCAGTCCGGTGGTCTCCTCGGCTCGACCTCCACCGCAACAGCGCAGCCGCAACAAACTGGAGGCCTCTTCGGCAACCAACAGCCCGCCCAGGCGCAAACACCACAAATACAAACGCAGAACCAAAGCACTGGGGGGCTCTTCGGTGGTAACATGGCTAGCCAAACCGCGTCTACAGGCACTGGGGCTTCTGGGGGGTTGTTCAGCAGCTCCCTGAAACCCTCCCAACCAACAACCAACAATACTGGCTCGACTATGTTTGGCCAGCAAGCCCAACAGAAGCCCAGCCTGTTGTAAGTAAAATTTACCATCTCGCGTCGTGTCCTCTAACTTAGTCTATAGTGGCAGCGCTCTCGGCCAATCTACTCAACCACAACCGAATCCTCTCGGACAATCACAGCCGCAGCAGTCTAGCATCGGCTTAGGTGGCTCACTCGGCCTCGGCCTGACGATGGGACAAGCAGCAGCTCAACAGACGGTACCCGGTGTACGTATCGACGTGAGCAATTTGAAGGGTACTACACGGTTCAACGATCTTCAGGAGGACTTACAAAAGAAAATCGAGAGCGTTGATATGTTCATCCAGCAGCAAATGAGAAATAAGGAGCAAGTCGATTCTTTCATCCCTGGCCATAAGGAGATGCTTGAGAGTATCCCCAGCGATGTTGGCTTTGTCGCCAAGAAATATGATAGTGCACACAATGCGCTTGCCTCTGCTGCCCAGGCCATTGAAGCAGCCCGCGGTCTAGTTGCACAGGATGTAGATCACGCGCGTCTTAGCTTTCGAGCCATTGACAATTTAAAACTACCCGAGCAATACCATACAGCTGGTATATGGTCACCCAGACAACAACCGGCGGGGACAGCCAACACGGAAGCGGATGGTCAGGATCTTGTTAGCTTCTTTTCTAAGGCCGCAGACGAGATGGAGGAGCAGGTGAAGAGATATAACAGCAACATGTCAGAGATCGAAACACATATGCATGGCGTTTCCGACGGTCTCGTGGAGCAATTACAAAAGATGATGGCGAACAAAAATGGCACATCGATCGGTCCCAACGAAAGGGCCCAGGAGCTTAGCGCTGTGCTTAGGGAATTGCAGCAGGGTATCCTAAAGGTAGCCAGCGATGTAGCCAGCGCGAGAGAAGACATGACCCAGCTGCAGCTGGGTAATTTTATTAATAACGATGGCGATCGTAACGGCATGTTCTAGGCATAGTAGGGAGCATTGATGTAGATACCCCAATAAAAATTTGGTACGTAGCCTCGTACCCGGTGGGGAGCACTGTTAGACGCTATGGCTTCGCGAGCGCTCTCGAAAAGAATCTTACTATATGATGTCTAGCACGTAGTTATCAATCCTACGGAAAATGCGTCTATAGATATAGCTAGGAGATAATAGATGAGCATTACTCTCGAGAGTTGTAGTTGTTACGTGATGTGCACTTGCTAGGTATAGTTAATTATTCTCAAGTAGTTTCATTCCTTGACGATGATGGGAGCAACATATTCTACCCTTTATGATACATGAGCATTTAGTGTGTGGAGGTGAAAGGGCACAAAGGTATTATAACGTGTGAAAAGGATACGAGTCTCAATACATAGACATGTAGCCTTACCCGAATCTGAACAAATAGTTACCAAAGAAGCACCCGCCAACGCCAACCATTCAAAACCTTTATATCCTCTTCTCCGAGACCTTGCTCTCCCCTCTCGACTTTGGCCATGAGCCGCTTCAACCGTTTCGAAATTGTCCTAGCCACTCGTAACGACACTTCGCTCTGGAATACGTATAACACTGCCAGTACAAAAAAGGCCACCGAAGCAAGTTTACTTTTGCCATGTACAGAGTCCAGAATCCGGCCGATTAGCGACTTACTCCTCTTAAATGCGTACTCGGTGTCATTCGCCTCGTTATCCTTTTCGGACCGACGGAAGATCCTACGAACCGCGGGTATAAATGAAGCACTAAATAAGTATGAGCAGCTAGGAACACATGAATTATAACATGCCGTAAGTGAAAGGGTTAGGGGAGATGAAGAGGTACAAGAAATTCGAGATGATGGAATTATCAACATCCCAAAGGCTATCACAAGGACACTAAACTCACACAATACCACCCAACAGCCAGCGACGCCATCTATGAGATTCGGTTGTCTTAACTAGGTCGGACACCTCACTACGCAGTGCCTGCAAGTCGCTCATGACGATACCCCTCTGCGCTCGGAGGCGGTGTTCGCTGGCGGGGTCGTCATATCGTCGCCGTCTCTGGAGGGTGAGATATTCTCCTAAGGAGAACTCACAAGCTGTTTTTATGGATCGGATGTCGGTCCCCGCGAAAGGCGTAGAGATGGGACGTTCTAATCTAGCTTCCGGCGGCATCGAAGCCGAGATTGGAGCGGGGGCCGAAGCTGGAGCCGAATAAGACGGCGTCGGCACTGTTTGTTGGTATTCCATTGACCTTGAATTTTCGATAGGTGAGTAAAGGAGTGAGGAGACTACTTGGGTAGGATCGGTAACGTCATTTACCTATTCGCTCTATATAATGACTCACTCAAGACACGATAGGATACCAAGGCGATTAATCACGATACATTGACCTTATTTCTTTAGTAATAATTGCCTGTTGGGTGAGTAGGTATTATGAGATGAGGGCCCGAAGATCAAACCGGTGGCTGGGACCGCGGGGTAGTTTTCGATCAGAACTTGGATGCTCGGCAAAGTTGCCAGGATTGGGAACTGGATGCAAGGTAAGCGTCACATATCTGCACCCTAACAGAACGCCACTGATAATTGTTGACCGATCGATCAGGTACAATCAACCCGCAGGAAGAACCGAAACACTTAAGGAACATTTAATCGGATAATCTTAAACCTAGGAATTAAAATACATTTTAATATTTGCTGGTTTAGATTACCTTGAAAAGGTATAAGTTGTTAGTCGAAGAATAGACTAATAAGGTAATTAAAAAAAGGAGAAAAGAGAAAAGGAGTCCTTAGAATTAAAAACAAGCCATCTATTGGATACGAAGTATAAATATAATGTACTCGATATTTTAAACGTAACTTTTCTTATAATCATTATTATAAAATAGAAAGTCTACCATTCCTAACAATCTCCTGCTTTCTAAGACATATAACATAACGAAAACCGCTTATGACAGGAATACGTTACAGTTCTTCGCGTTAATAAATGTATGTAGTTTATATTTATATCTTGACACGCTGACGTTTTGTTTATCGGAATGAATTATTACCTTAATTCAATTTTCGTTATAATAAGAGTAAATGTGAACACTTCGATAAGCTAAAACTTCACAGGTTTACACTCAAATTATTATTTTCTGTACCCTGTCTATTGATAGGCTGTATTTCACTACATTGTTATGTTGGGTGTTGTAGAGAACATTGTGGCTTATTATGTCCGATTATTTATAAATACTGGTTGTGGAAGATCGACATCGGCTTGGAGGGTAACGGTAAATTATCGTTTTAGCCACGAATGGCGCGCTAAAGGGACACTCAATCTTGGGGGATAAAATTTACCTTTATTGTTCATAATGATAATACACCGTTAGAGAGTGGGAGGGGGTAAAGGATTGTGCGAGCCTTCTAATATATACACGGGGCGGATGAAAATTGGGAATCGGAAGACTCGGAGTACTCTAAGACATTGGCCATCCGCCAGTTGTACTCACCCCTCTTCATCATCCACGTAGATACGTATCGTGGGCTGGAGCACGTGACCATCAGCAGACTGGCTAAGGAGAAGATCGGACTACTTCGGTAGCTACATCGTCCGTGGTCAGCCCATGCCGGAAGAGAATAAATATGGCGTTGGGGAATACGTGTATTACTAAGATGGTGGGTGACGGGTGTGGATATGCATTAAGTATATACATGTACCTAGGGATATATATCTGCACATGCGGATGGCTGCTGACGCCGAATCCGAGCGGCATGACTTGCCGCACAACCTTCCTATTCTCCCCTTGCTCCGAATATGCCGGTCTGGATTGTCCTGTCGACTGGGGGTTCGATATCGGACCGTACTCACTGTTAGTATGATGCAAGTAGGTTCCTTTATTTTATTTCACGATATCTTCTGCAGAATATCGAGAAGACACGAACGAATTTTATTTTGTCATGGGTAATCTCGACCCGCGGTACGTTACGTGTAAACCTTTGACTAGACGTAAATGGGCGTGTGCGAATTTCAGGATAAAGGATTCGGGCCGCCCCCTTTAATCCGTTGTTGCCGAGACTTTCGATGGTGCCCCGAGGAAGACGTACCTACCGCGTGTATCTATGTGTATACTGAGTACCTAGATTACATATCTACATATAAACAGCGGCCTATTTTATCTACATATGTAAATCCAATAATACTTAGTTCTGTAACGGATATATACGTCCGGGTAATCCGGCCGACGCGGGCGCATACAGTGTATAACAAGTCCGCACAGTTTGATTCCCTCAGCGACAAAAGGGTCACATTGTAATGTTTCCCTCTTGGATGAGAGGTTCTCGATGTTGAGGTGAGTGCATTTACAATGATATCGTACCTAAGTAAGTAACTATAGACACCAAAGCTGCTGATAAAACCTGAGCATTTAAAACAAGCAGCGGGACAAGCTGACGAGGTTATGTGTTTTCGGTCGCCGCATTGTGGATTATCTATTTATATACCACGGTAAGTACTCGAGTTACGGACTCCGCCATCTTACATCTCACGTCTCACGTACAAATACCTGGTGACCTAGTAAGTCAACCGAGGCGATAGACATAAGTGCCTTTTCTTTTTCCTTTTTTTTCTCTTTCCGATATATATATTTTTCTTTTTAAATGCGCCTACTATCTATATTTAGGATAGGGAGGGGGAGGTGGCAAGCCGAATCGGTCTCGTCGAATTTACTAGATGCATTTACTATACTTCTTACCTAGGCATTATGACATATTTCATTTTCATCTGAAAATATTCGGTATTTGGATGAAAGAGAAGGAACAAAGAAAACGTGAGCTTTTCCGGTGATCCCCAGTATCTGTTCACAATTCTGTAGATTTCCGGGAAAAACAAGGGAGGGCGGATTTTGTAGGTTGGTAAGGAGTTCGAGGGCGCTTCGGTTTGAACGGATTCAACGGATGGTAGACGTCGGGGTAATGCCATCCTCCTGGAGCCTGAGACTCCTGGCGCGTCCCCTTACCACGCCCACGTAAATAAGGCAGTTTCATGGGTACTCCGGGATTAAATCTTATTATTGCTTGTAACTTCATCTTCGGTCGGAACACACCCTCGTTTGGTCTAATTGCCGATAATCTAAATTCATTACCTTCTAAGCGATAAAAAGAACGCGGGATATAACAGCCGAGTTGTGTCAATTCGTTTGTAGATACCAATTAGTTTAGTGTACGGGATGGAAATCGATTAGGATTTGTCGGCCTAGCGAGGTTCGGTTGTAGCAGAGCTACTAGCGGGGAACGGTCGTAAGGTTGCAGGATGACATCGTTCGGGGGGGTACTCATCCTCGACTTGGCATTGATACGATCTTGTAAGTATTCATATGGCGATGGTGGTGTCTTGTAGTCCCGGTGCCGATGTCCAAAGAGGAGTAGGATGATGGGGATGACGACGATTTGCACACAATGGCACTGCAGCTCTGGTGTCACCCATTCATGGCACGATCTCTATCTCGGACTATCCGCCCTCCGGATATACCAAGAATATTACCTAAGTAGGTAGGTTCCGAGTAGCAAGGAATAGGAGGGATAGATGTATGCCAGGTGATTGCAGAATCAACTTGTTACGCTTTACTCGACTCGCATGGGGAATTCTTTATATCAAATAATTGTAATGGCCGGTTCAAATGTTTGGATTGTCCCATACTGGGTACAAATGATAAAAAAAAAATTGCATTGTCTCGGCGACGGCGAAGCGGACCCATCTCGGTCAGCCTGTGCGTGATTAGCAAGAGCCTTCCCGCGCCGTGTGCCCTCTTCTTGAGTGGTCTGTGATACGCCAACAATTTTGGGCTACGCACAAGTTGGCGGCCGGCGGAGTTCTGAGTAAACCAACGTGGCGAGCTGGGTTGCCTGGTCAAGGTTACATTGAGTCAGCCCCCGGTTATCCGATTCATGGCTTCGTCAGCCGACAACTACAGCCCCGGGTGTTTTTGCTTGGTACCTTATGGTGCGAAAACTCCTATGGTGTACTGGGTATATATATAGGTATATACTTATATGTATATACATTTACAGATATCTTGGGTGCGCAGAGAGAGGTATGACGAATGAATAGCTGGTGGTAAGAAAGGGGGCATATAGCTCGGAGGCAACGGTGTTCTATTACATACTTATGTATGTAATATTAATCCTACAAGTGGATTGATATTTAAAGGGACTACCTGGCCGCCTGGGTACTTGCGTCCCAAGAGGCTATTGTATGTGCGCATCCAATTTTGAAAACCCTGGAACAGTAAGAAAATAAGTTCCGAGTTGCCTAGTAAACGAAAAGTGTCGACGTATGTATGTATACCTAGGTATTCGAAGGACATTCCCGGGAAGTAACCTACCTTAGGTAGGTTATATTGGCGGGATCCTAACCAAGATCTCAAAGGTCGTAAGGTCGTAAAACAGGGACCGACACTCCGAAAAAGCCCAGCTTCATCCGCCGCTCTAGAACCCCCGTGTCCGTGACCTCTCACAGTACGTACATGAAGTAACTGAAGTAACACGTACATCCTTTTCTTTTCTACTAAAGTTGAAGGGTGGTTAAACATCCATATTTCTCACACATTAGGCGCATACCTAACTACTTAAGTAGTCTAAGCGCTCACTATTTAAACTTTCCATTTTCTGTCATCATTCAGCCCCGACCGGTGTTTAGTTAGTCGGCTTGCTGTGAAAAATCTCCATTTCGCTTTTTTCCCCTTGGTTTCCCGAGCGGCGCGAAGCGAATAAGAAAAGGAATCCGACCCCATTTATATACCTATGCATTGGATGGCTGACTTGACTTGATGGATATGATGAGTAGATAGAATATAAGACGAGAAAATAAAATAAGATAAATAAGGTAATTTTCATGTATGGAGAGATGAAATCATCATGCAAGATCAAGATCATAAGTTACATATATACGTATAGGAAGGTACATATGCAAAAGCCACCCGAGTTAAAATAAAGAAAGAACGGTAGAGTGGACGGATTGTGAAGATTATTATGATTATTATGAGGTAGGTGGAACTTGCCTCCCTTCCCGTATTGCGTTGTCCACAGTATGTGCAGACAGTACGGAATAAGCCCGTATTATTTATCTAGCCAAATTGGTAAAGTTCCACGCGAAAGAGACGACCAGCGCCGGGAGCCGTGGAGCCGAAAGTGCACCCCCCAGTGAAAAGAGGTTTGAGTTTGGGAATTTCATCAATCTGCCTCCGGGGGTTTTGATTGACCTTTTTTTATTATTGAGATTTTTCTTATTCTTCTCATTCTTAATTTTTATATGAGTGCATCTAAATAATTTGAAGTGATAATTCTCAATTCCCATTTACAATTTGGGTATACTTGATAAAAACCTCATTTGGTAGTGTGTATATATATTCTTTTTCGTCGTTCCTTTCTTTTTCTTTTCTTAATGGGCGTCTATTAGACGGGCGAATCCCCGGTCGTGGCCCCCCACAAGGAAATAAAATATAATAATAGAGAAGGCGCAGAAAAAAAAAAGAGGGAAAGCGTACCTACGTAGGATACCTAGGGAGAAAGAGCCGGGCTAGGCCGCCTTGCACCCCCCGGATTGACCGCCTTGTCGCATTGCCCTTTCCTCGGGAATCATCAGTGCTCAAGCAACTGGGTTCTGGTTCAGGTGCGCGTGCTGATTTTTTAGCGCAAACGCCCGAGTTTTGGTCCGTCCTAATTTCTGTCCTCCCTCCCGTTCTGCCCGTCTTCTCTGCAACATCCCTCTTCAATCGGCATCGCGCCAGAACGCCATCCTAGGCTTCTTTACCCATCTTCCAACCCTTCTCCCCTTTTCTTTCGATCTTTATTTTCCTTTTTCAATTTTCCCTAATCTCCCACCCAATAAACCCACCCCCTTGAAACCTCCACTCCGACCGAAATTTATACTGTTCAAAAAATTTCCCATCCACCATTCCACCCGTACCCGAACATCCACCGCCTCCCGTCTTCTCCGTTCTCACTTTTCTCTTCAACAACTTTCTCACCTTTTACCGGACCTGCCTTCGGAGCATCGCCATATTGTTCGGAATCGCATCATTTCTTTTCTTTTCTTGTTTGAAAAACCATTCATCCATCTGTCCTCATGGCGTCTGTCGTCCGCGGCACGTCGCTCAGGGCCGGCGGTGCTTGTGTACGCTGTCGCAAAGGCAAGACCAAGTGCGTCTACGAGAATGGTCGGGCGCCTTGTAGGAACTGCGCGAAGGGAATGCACGAATGCTATCTCCCTTCAGAAAGCATGGCTCATCACCATGGGCAATCTCCTGCTAGACCTCCACGTCCGCGAGAGAGCATACCTGGAGAGCGAAGCGTGTCGGCTACTAGCGACCGCCAACCTGTAGCATCCGGTACCGTCTTACCGCGCAGTATGCAGTCGAACACTGAGAAGTAAGTCATCCTTCATTATAATTATCATCATCATCATTTTTATTGCTATTACCATTTCTATTTCTATTTATTTCATAATCGTGTTACCTCATTTATCCCTCTCCACCCGTCGGAAATGGCAGAAAATCCCCCTCGTGCCTCGAAAGTCTACCTAATTATTCATGACAACAACTATGTGGGCATGACAATGTGGGCATCGTGGTGTTTCGGCCTTTTTTTGGCCTCAGAGGGCGGCGAATACAGCTACGCGCACCCCCGAGAACCAGGCCAAGCTTGGTATTTTGGTTGATCCGTGCTCCCTGGTCTCGGTCAAGCACAGAGTGCAGCCGGCCAGACGCCCTAATACTTACTAACCAAATTCTGGGTGGGCTGTGGATGGATGGGATGGATGCCGGTTGCCTCGTCTCGCTTCGGGACTTCCAGTGTCTCTCTTCCAAGGGGGCCCCCAATCCTGCTGTTCTGTTCTTTTTTGCTCCGTTTGTCCCTGCGCCCCAACACGCGCTCTCATCTCAATCTGTACCCTTGTCCTCCCCCAAGTTTCGTTCGCGTTGATCGGCTCCACTAACACGTATTTTCGTTCGTCCCCACAGACTCAATCCGGAACTGGTGACGGAATGTGAAAGGGTAATCAGCAAGACTATTCCGTCTTGCGTCGCCTTCCACAAACCGTCCTTCCTACAGAAACTGAAGAATGGCACTCTCGAAGCTAGCATTGTGAACGGTCTTCTGACTTGCGCTGCGAGGTAGGCAAATTAATTTTATTCTTCTTTTTCTCGTTCTTTTTACTTCTCTTGTTTTTTTCCCTTTACTCGAATACAACCCTCCCCCCTTCGGAACCTGCCCTATCCACTTTCTGAAAGGATTCCGGGCGAATGGTTCATTCATCTCCGGAGGTGCATTCGCGTCTCGCCTAACCCACCAATAATCCCACTCTTCCCGCAAATACTTCCCCGCCGCCTCTCTTCCCGATCGCGCATAAAAAACATGTCCTTGTGTTAGGTTAATTGAGGCGAACCGGACTTATCTAATTCTTTGTGTACAGAAGTTCTCCTGCTTTGATTCGTCGATATGGCGGCCAGGGAGGTGCCTCGGCGGCAGCCGAGCATTTTGCCGTCAAGGCCATCAATATAATCATGCAGAACCTCGACAACCCGAGCTTGGCGGATATTCAGGCTCTTTGCCTCTTGATCATCCACGAATGGGGCAATCGCAATGCCGTCCGTGCCTACATCTACCTCGGTCAAGCTGCCCGCATGGCCCAGATGTATCGGATAATTGCGGTCCACCAAAACCGAGGCGACCCGGATCAGTTCATCAAGGACGAATCGTTCCGCCGCACGCTGTGGCTCGTTTACGTCCTTGATTGCTTCCTCACAAGCAGCCCCGGCCGCCAGCCGGCCGTTTCCCACCATGACATCAAGGACGTGCCACTTCCGTGTTTAGACATGAGCTATAACTTCGGCACACCTGTCTATGTTCGCACCCTAGCGGGCGGCCCGCCGTCTACGCTTCCGGACCCGTCCACTCCAATGTCCGAAGTCGGGGAGTTCGGTCATATAGTAATGGCGACTCAGGCCTGGCGTAACGTCATCGAGATGCTCACTACCGTTACAAGTACTACCTTCTCCGAGGAGGACTGCGCATCCCTTGAGGCGGGCATTGAAGCGGTTCGTAATTCTCTGCCGCCTCACTTCATGGACAAGGTCGGGCAAATCAATCTCCATATTACTATGGGTAGTGGGTTCACATATGCTATGTTGCACTGCCTCCTTCATTGCGCCACCATCATGGTTAACCGTCGTAGACTTCTGCATCTCGTCACCACGGAGGGGTTCAACCATGAGACCTGGCGTATAGTTCCGCACGTTCACCTACAGACTGTCGACCGAGTATTTGCGGCCGCCCACAGTGTGGTATCACTCCTGCTTGCCCTGGAAGCCAATGCCGATAAGGATGCCGTACTCAATTTCCCACTGGTCATGCTGTTTTCGTGCTTCACGGCTTGTTCAACTGTGGCTTGGTTCAGTCTAAAAGGTCTAACACCTGGCGATGTTAATGAAACGGCAGAATCGATCGTTCGTGATGGCATGCGTTTCCTCCAAGATGGAGCAAATATCTGGATCTTAGCTGTACCCTGGTATCGCCATCTGTCTGTCATGAATAAGGTCTTGCGCAATGGCGATAGGACGCTCCAGAGAACACAACCTGACCCTGCCGTGCCGTCGATTAAGGAAGACACTGCGAGCCAACCTGATAATCCTGACAGCATGGATTATGAACGTCCACAGTCGGCTAACGCCCAAGAACAAGCTGACGGTCGAGGCAGCGAGCCGCCGCGCAAATCTGGATTTACCACCATCAACGGAGGATCGGCCGGTGTGTCGACGCCGGCAACTGCGAGCCCGCCCCCAGGGAATGTCAAGGCAGACTCTCCAGCACCATCCTCGTCCGGACAGCCAGCCGATTCTGCGCCAGCCTCGGGCAGTGATATGACCGCTACCGAACTTTGCGTAGCCTTCGAACGCCAGCTTCTCGAACTAGACGATCTAGCTGCCTTCATGGGCGGCGGTGTATAGGATGCTTCTCGGCGTGGCTTCGTTCCTTAAGCTTGTATTACATGCACTTCCCTATCATCCGTGTACCTCTATCAGGTGCCTGGTGTATCCTTCTACGGGGCTGTACGTTAATAGGAGATCCATGGATTGGCGTTAGTCGGTGTTGTTGGGGGTTAGCTTGATTCGGGAGCTACGTTTTCCCCCTCATTTCGTAAGGATTTTCTCTTTCTGCTTCGGCGATGCAATTTTACTACCGCTATGAGCCGGCATCTTGGTGTCTGGACGAGTCAGACGATTCACGATGAATCAATCCGACTATCTCGTGGTGATGGTAATGAAAGGCAGAGTTGTGATAATGTGACGAGACCTAGTCGATGGTCTACTAAGGGAATTGTGTTTGTTATTTCCCCCACGGAGCTCATGTCTCCTATCTCCAGAACGGGTGGTGTACTCTCAAAACAGGTAGTAGTTACTGTACGTGGAAAATATCTAGGAGGGAAGCACACCTCTAAAAAAGGAATGAGGACTATCTGGATTTTCTTTATGTATTGCGGGAGGGCCTTGCTCTAGGTAATAATACCTAGTTGCTATAGTTGAATGGGTGGCATATGGCTTTGCGAAAACTTGTAGTATTATTATTGCTGTTATTATAAGGCATCTGAATTGCGCTTATTACTTTATTTCACAACGTTCTCCGATATCACAAAATCAAATTGCCATTGATAAATCGGTTGAAATTGTCATCTCAGTGCTGCTTAAAATGGTACTTGGGTACGTACCTATGGATTGGTGAATGGGATGTGATTGTCACGTGCTTTCTCCCAGACGTACCTTTTTTAGTGCCTGATTTTAACTTGCTTCTACTACCTTCAACCCCTAGTTTTTTATTCACAATTATGGTTTGCTATTCACCTCCTCCGCCTTTATTACAAATTGCGCCACCCGTTCGTTATACAATTGTATCTGGTTAATAACAGCATGCGTCGGTTTTCCCAGGACAGAAAGACGAGATGGGCATGTCAGGATGGAGAAAAACTGTCGATCATGGTACAAAACGGAAACATGATGGAGATGGTCCTGAGATGAGAGGGACTAGTAAAAATGCTACCACCATGGGTCATCATGCACCTTCGGCGACTACTGAATACAATACCCCAGACACGAAGTTTAACCCGAAGCTGCCGTTCCCTCGAGATGACGATTATTATAAAACACTTTATACGGAGGAGCTTGACTTCGGTCTTCTTGGGCGGCATGATCCAGAATTAAATGCTGTATTAGACCGCGGCTCACATCTTGACTTCACCAATCCCAAGTCTGTTATGCAGCTTACCAAGACTCTCCTTCGGCTCAATTTTGGTTTGCTGATTGACCTACCTACGGATCGTCTCTGTCCTCCTGTACCCAATCGGCATAATTATATTCTTTGGCTGAAGGACCTTCTTGATTCGTCCTCACCCTCATATCTAGACCGTGGCAACCCAGCTCAGCCAGTAACTGGTTTAGACATAGGAACAGGCGCAAACCTCATCTACCCTCTTCTAGGTTGTGCCCAACGACCGTCGTGGTCGTTCATCGCCACCGATGTAGACGCGAAGTCCCTGGCCTGTGCACGCAAAAATGTTGAGCTTAACGGTTTACAAACACGGATACGTGTGGTTGATCGGGTCCTCGAGGATTGCCTCATCCCCCTAGATGAGCTCGGTCTCGAGACCATCGACTTTGCCATGGTCAATCCACCCTTCTATACGTCCGAGATGGAACTAGCAGATTTAGCCAAACAGAAATCCCGACCCCCGAATAGTGCATGTACAGGTGCGCCTATCGAAATGGTCTGTGCGGGAGGTGAGGTTGGTTTTGTTCGCCGAATAATTGACGAGTCTTTGGTTCTGAGGCGGAGAGTGCAGTGGTATACTTCCATGCTAGGGAAACAGTCAAGTCTAGAGATGATCGTCAACATTTTAAAACAACACGGCGTAGATAACTATGCCGTAACTGCATTTATCCAGGGAAAAAAGACTCGTCGTTGGGCTGTCGGGTGGAGCTTTGAGAGTCGCCGGCCAAGTCTTTCAGCAAGCAGAGGCTGTGAACCTTCAGCCGGGAAGAAGCTCTTACCTTGTCTTACTGAGGTCACTATTGGCACATGGTATGCACCGCCACAGCATATCGAGAAAATGCTCCGTGATACGATTGAAAATCTCGACTTGGTTTCGTGGACTTGGGACCAGCCGCCGTCTAGTGGCTTAGGCTTCGTAGATGGCAATGTATGGGGCCGAGCTTATCGAAGGCAAAGAGCAAGGGAACAGATAATTAGGCGCACGGGCAATGGGCAACCCGTTCATAGCCATCCTCTCGCCCAACAAAAGAGTCACGAAGAATGCGCATTCGGTTTCTCGGTGGCTATTCAACCCTTGAAGGATTTAGGGAGTATTGAGAACCGGTGTACGGTTGTGGTACGTTGGCTACAGGGCAACGAATACGCAGTTTTCGAAAGTTTCACTGGGTTTCTTCGAAAATCCATGTGCTCAGATCGATAAAAAATTACGACGTTTCGTCTCGATTTGAGGCAGCAGGCTTATTAACGCGATGTTTCAGCAAAGTGTACACATTTGACGCCAGCCTAACCGTGTCTTATTCATCGCATATCGTACCCCTGTTGAACGAATCTGTCTATGCTTACTACAAGTATGATTTCGAGATGCTTCATTAATTAAAAATTGCCGAGTCGCGATATCCTCAAAAATTGGAGTTTACCCGGATCCCTGTTCTCCTCACTGATACGGCTTAGTGATAACATAAAGAGGCGTTCTACACGGGCAGCTCCCATCAGTGCTTTGATTCATTCTTCGATACGAACGAAGAAGTTCGTTTCTCCGTCTTTGGGGGCTACAGCGGCCCTTTCAACGAGCTCATCGCCGACGGCCAAACGCAATTTTTCAGGGGTCGCCGGAGCATTGAGGATCAATGGCTTTATCACGCCATTCATTTCCCTTGCGGCCTTCACTGCCTCTCTGAGGGCGAAGAATACCGTAGAGCCTAAGAAAAGCGGCGGCTCTCCAACGCCCTTACTACTTTGGATAGAGCGCAGATGCTTCCAGCTAATGGCATTCCCGCTCGAATCATGCCTCAACATGGATACATTAAATACCTGCGGAATATCGGAGAATCCTATCCTTACGTTAGTGCCTAGTGTTGGAACGGTGCAGATTCCGCTGGTTTTACCTGGTATCTTATACGTCCCAGGGCCTCTAGTGAAGAGTTCGCCCTCCCTAGTCCATAACGACTCCTCCATCGTGAATAAACCTTGTCCTTGGACGAATGCTCCTTCAATCTGACCATAGTCTATAGACGGGTTGATGGAACGACCGACATCCTATTATACCATCAGATGGGCTCTTCTGTGTTGCTGAGTGTTACTTACCATCATAATATCAGTCCTCAGCACGGTGTGATCCCCTGTGAGGACATCTAATTCGACCTCGGTGATAGCAACACCCTGAGTGAAATAATAGTACATCGGAAGCGGATCCTTGTAGTTGCCCCATTTGTATCCTATTCGAGGCATCTTCCAGAAACCGTTCGCGGCAAGATTGACCCGATCCCGATACGCGGCGTGGGCAATCACTGACATCGGAGCGTCAGGTCCAAATTGCTTCCTGTAAGGCGCTAAACGCTCATTGAGTTGATCGCAGGCGTTTTTGACAGCCATGCCGTTGAGATCACTCCCCGACGATGCGGCAGTGGGAGATGGGTTGGCGACTTGGTCGGTTTGTGAGTCTTTGCTAAATATTTGATCAACGCTTACGCCGAGCTCCTCAGCCGCAACCTGACACATCTTAGTGTATAAACCTTGGCCCATTTCGACGCCGCCAGTATGAAGCAGCATGCTGCCATCTATAAGAAACGGAATTAGCGGATTAGATGGGATCAAAGCAACTAGCATCTGAAAGGGAATTTGGTAGGTTTAAAATACTTGATAGACTCTATCAAGGTTTCCAGACACGTATAAAACTCAAGGAAATGCCTACCTTCATAAATCCTTATGTAGGCACCGGCCTGGTTGAGATGGAGCGCGGTAGCGAAGCTGAAGCGCATAAGGTCAACCTTCTGCCTAAAAAGGCGATAACGAAGCAACTTACCTGAGCCCAAACTTGGTCGGGATTTTGCAGATTCCTCGTTTTCTATACCGGTTCCGCGAGTTAAACAATTTAACTCCTTCCCTCCTATTCTCATAATCCGCATTGGCGCTTAATTGTTCGAGCATGGTCGGGATATGGAAATCGACATCAATCGGCTGCAAGAACGGTGTCAAATCACCTTGCTTATATAAATTTCTAACTCGCAGCTCGTCGACGTTAATTTGGAGATGCTCAGCAATGACACTCATATAGGACTCGGTGAAATACATGGCTTGTGGACCCCCAAATCCACGGAAAGCTGTGTTCGACACGGTATTCGTCTTGCAGAGCCATCCACGTATCCAGGCATGTGGGATGTTGTAACAATTGTCGATATGGGTGCAAGCCCGGTCCATAACGGCACCAGACATATCTAAGGAATATCCCGCGTTATTATAGATGTCCGCGTCAAGGCATTGGATAATGCCGTTGGTATCCGTGCCGATCTTCCATCTGCATTGCATCGGATGCCTCTGTCCGCTGATCATGATATCTTCATCGCGATTCAACATAATCCTCATAGGACGACGCTCCTTCTTGGCGGCGATAGCAACTAAACACGCTATAGGGGTACTCCTCGACTCCTTTCCACCATAAGCGCCGCCAAGACGTCGGACCCTCATGTTAACTCGACTCATAGGTACGCCGAGAACCTGCGCGACGAAAACCTGGTTCTCCATTAAATTCTGCGTCGAAGCATACACTTCCATCGTACCATCTTCGATATGAGGAATCGCTAGTGCGGCATTCGTCTCCAAATAGAAATGTTCTTGACCCCCTAATTTTGTTGTACCCTCAAAGATATGGTCACATTTGGCGAATACGCCATCCAGAGGTCCCTGAATCGCAGCTCCTTTCTTCAATTGCTTCCCGTGTTCGAAATAACTCTCGGCCTTGATTGCTTGGTCTATGGTGAGTATGGCTGGTAGTACTTCATATGTCACTTGAACCTTTGCAGCGGCAGCAGCGGCTTGTAAAGCTGTCTCGGCGTATACTAGGCCTATTGTCTGACCATGTGAGTAAACCTCGTCTACTGCAAATAAGGGTTCATCTATTCGGATTGGGCCCCAGTCATTACTTCCTTGCGGTACACTGTCTTTGTCGAGATAACCGATCACTCCTGGCATTTCGAGCGCAATGCTCCAGTCGACTGCGAGGATCTTGGCGTGCGCTTTCGTTGATAGGACAAGGGCACAGTATAACTCATTACTCTGCTGCGGCATATCGTCAACATATTCGGCCTCGCCGGTGCAATGCTTTAGAGCGGAGAGATGCGGAATCTCTCTACCTACGACCTTGGTACCTGAAGTAGCAAAGTGATCACGAGTGCCAGTGGATATTCCGCGATGTATTTCTCCGACAGTATCACCCCCAGCGGTACTCAGGCCCAATTCTGTGTTGCTCTCGTGCCAAAAACGAAAGAACAAAGATAACGTCAGGGCTATTGAATCAGTAAGCAAAAACTTCAGCACGTTATACGGAAACTAACTTTTCCTATATTGAGCCATCCCTCCAGGTACACCGAATGGCAAGTCAAAGTCCTTTAGAAGAGCGCCTATTACCTCTTCACGGGTGTCATTATCTGACCACTGTTTTCCTAGTACGGCCTTCTGTGCTGTCTTTGCAACTATCGTAGTTGGTGCCATGCCACCAAAAGCGAAAGTCGCCTGTTGGACGAAACCCTTTTGATCCGTGCGTATTCGGAAGCCCGCCGTCACAATCGCGATGTCGTCATCTTTCCTCTTAGCTTGTTTATACGCCTTCGTTACTTCTAACGCCTCTGGCGGCGGTAATGGGATCTTTATGTGCGTGATCACTCCGTCACTAGGAAGTTGAGTTGTTCGATATTTCACGAAAAAGGTTGATAATGGTATGTCATATGAGCCCTCTTTCATAGTTCTTATCGTGATCGTGGATACCGCTGCTAGAAGAGCCGGAGCCGCGTCCGAGATGGGGCTCGCTGTTGCCAAGTTCCCAGCCAAGCTCGCAACATTCCGTATCTGACGGCCTGCGAAATACCTAAGTTGTTTACGAAGCGCTTCGAGTGCACTTGCCCTTGCACCAATCTTTAGGAGCAACATAGAGCACAATTCTTCCACTTTCGTCAGCGGCATATTGCCAGGAATAGAGACTTCCGAGAGGGCGCTGAAATTAACATGGCTCTGGGGGGCCTCAAAGTTACTAAGTTCTTCAATATCTGATGCGTAGATGCATACTCGATACTCTGACTTCTTAAAACGAACCTCGATCTAATACCATGTTAGCGCGGTTTATAGCGGCTGCTGTTCCTAGCTGTTTCTGAATACCTGTGTCTCGCTAGCACCACCTATGATTTTGGCCGAGGGCCAGGCGTCCTTCAATTCGATTAACTGTTCAAGCGTTGTAGGCCTGAACCAAACCTTCCTCTCGTTTCCGAAACAAATAGGCTGTCGCTCGTATTTCCAGAGGGCCGGGGGGAATATCAACTCTGCTGTAGCATCGTATGGGATGAATGACTTAAGTGAGGCGCTTGTGTTCTTGGCCGAGTCGGCAGAGGTGGCTCGTGTAGTATCGGAACCCTGAGATGATAATCTACCAACACTACTCCTGGACGACGATGTAGATGAGTCACGACAACACCCACCCGGACGGCCACATGAGCCTCCCTGGGTACTGCATACTTCTTCGTTCGTTGAATTTTGGAGGGCATCATTGGTGAAACTATCCACAGTTAGAGGGGAAGAGCTAGACTCCTCAACTAGGTCTCCTTTCAAGTCTTCCACGATGAACGTCTTAGCCGCCTCAAGGATTGGTTTATATCCGGTCTAGATAACTCAAGTGTTAGTTGTGTTCCACAGTGGCCACAGGAGCATACGCATACGCATCTACATAGATTTCCATCTAGATGCCCTTGCATTTCAACATCGGAGGCTGAGAGGTGGAATTTCCCCTCCTGATACGAGTTTCTGATGAGCGCGTATAAGCTCATAACTATTCCAGGGGTGCAAAAGCCGCACTGGGAGCCACTGTGTCCGACGTTGAGCATTGGTGTCAAGAGAAATTGGTAGGAAATAGGACAGTATAGCGACTTACTGCATCTTAGCTACCCTTTCTTGGAGAGGATGTGGGCGAGCGACTGTTCCCAAGCCCTCGATAGTGATTAAACTCTTCCCGTCGACACCGACAAGTGGGAAGAGGCAAGCATTTACCGCGACATGCCTTAATCGTTTCCCCTTTTCGGCGGTTTGGAGTACCACAGTACAAGCACCACATCCACCTTCACCACAACCAAGTTTGGTCCCTTTCAAGTTGCTCTGAGCACGAATCCACTGCGAGAATGTGAGTCAATATTTATTCGTTTTGCTTGTTTAGTTTATCTAGGCGAAAGCTTTAGGGGAGGGGGTGATAACTTGAAATCACGGATTTCGAATGAGAAAGAGCTAAGAAGAATTAGATGTTACATACGTCGAGGAGAACCCAGTCAGGGTTCGGGTTTGCGACGGTAACGCGACGCCCATTTACGAAGAAACGTAATTCGGAGGTTCTATAGGTCGATTGGATTAAAGGCGTGAGAGCCTCGGCAGCGGACGGAGCGGCAGTGGGTCGGGATTCAGGTATCGGTAGAGCTATAGGCGGCTTCGGAAGTATCCCTGCTGCTGCCATTGTTTCACGAAGTTTAAGATAAGGGGTTAAAATCCAAGCTGACCATGGGGCTGGAAGTTTGTGTGAACTGGAAGTATTTCTTGGCGAGGTTATTTGCCTGGTTCGAGTTTATTACATTACATACATGCACGTTTAAGTTTGGAGCTGATTTAAGTTTGAGGTTGACTAGAAAGAGCTGTCGATAAGAAATTAAAGCCGCCATGCAAGCCGAAAGCACGTGGACGGCGAATATCAAGTTCGATGCGATATGCGGTTGATAGTCATTGGAGTCATTTCAAGTTGGTAGCATTACATCTCTACATTTGCATATCTACATCTACATCCCCACTTTGGTCAGATATCGAGATCATGATTATTATAATTGGTGTCTTTAAATGAACCTTGGTACCCTAGATGTAAACTAAATATTATCTGGCTTTCTAACTGCAGAGATGGGTATTCGTATTGGTAAGCTAAGTTCGTCATTCATGTATACTACGGGGAGTTAATGTACCCCCTACGTAGCCTCCTTCCGAGAGTTTCTCATACGGAGTACTGCTTGCCATTTCCAGTATGCGGGAACGAAACCTTAGCGCATTTAAGGTAACCCCGCCCCCACTATTACCCGCTAGCAAGAGTGGGATAGCGTTCAGGTACCCCTATAATATGCGGACATAGGGTACATTTATAGTGACTTTCCAGGGACTTACTAATAATTAGTCCGTCACTGTATTATCCTACAGAGGCAATTTTATATATTATAATCCAAAAAGGAGAAAATGGCCATCCACGTTGCCTAGTCAATAGAAATAGAGTGAACCACACCCTATATATTCAGTACCTAGGTATATAAATTTAAAAAATAAATCATAACGATTATTCTAGCTACCGCTTGTTTCTTGTGAGCGAGTTTCCGTCAGAGACCACAAGATAGATACCAAGGATTACCGTGGATTTCGGCAAGGTGCCCCCCAAAATTAATTAAATCTACATAGATGCTACGCTCTTATGGATGGACTCCGTTAAACTACAGACGTGAGCGTGTCGTGCCTTGTTGGGTCTGTTGGGCCTGTTCCCATCTAAGTTCTACATCCTTCTCAAGATCGTATGCCAACAACCAACCTCCAACGCCGTAGTACCTCCAAGGCAAGGGGTCATCACCCGATTCTAGTCTCGGCCGTGCAATAAACTCAGGATTATTCAATAATAATTCGTCAATCTCCCCGAACATTTTGAACCTTTTGTCTCTTTCTCTCTGCTCCTTGCCATCGTGAACATGGTACAAGTACTGTTGGTAGTTACCCCTGTCGACTACCCTCTCGGTTCTCTCTTTTCGACATTCTTCATACACTCTAAGTGCTTGCAGTTTCTGCTCACGAGATTTGTTGGTTATCTTCGCTAAGCAGAGACCTAAGGCTGCTCCATCCTCTAAAGCCATGCCACAGCCACCTGGTGTAAAGTATTAGCCAATAAGCTGGATAGGATTGGGATGTAAAGGCAAGGTATCGCCAAAAGAGTGTATTGGGCATTTTAAGTTGGCTAACTTACTGGCGAGATATGGAAGTGTTGCGTGAACAGCATCTCCTAGTAAAGTGAATGTTCCCGATTCGTGAGTCCATTTCTCTAGAGTAGGGCGGATACAAAGCTTCCACTTCTGAACAGATTGACAGAGATTCAAGATTTTACCTATTTTAGGGTCCCAACCCTCGTATAAGGCTTGCATCTCTTCTACATTCCCATCTACGGTCATGGAAGTTGCGGGCATATCATCCGGGACCAATAAAACCATATTGAATAACTCCCCGCCCCTGAGGACATAATTGACGGCATGTGCATCGGGTCCTATCCAGTAGTTGACCTGAGGGTCCTGGATAAAGTGTCGCAGTTCAGGGTCTGCCAACATATCCTTAGCATCAATGAGCAGCCTATATGCTAGGTCTCCAGTGGGCACGGGAGGATCCGGTTTACCGAGTAAGACTTCTCGTAGCTGCGACGAGATACCGTCTGCCCCAACAATTAGGTCTGCAGACATGGCCCTCCCATCGCTCAATCGGGCAGTTGCAGTCAACTTATCTTGGGCATACTCAATCGCTTGGACTCTTGATTTGACGTGAAGTTTGGCACCAAGTTCGATGGCTCTGTCTAGAAGACAACGATGTAAATTGGCGCGATGAAAATCCCAGAAGGGCGTCCCTAAAGCCTTCCCATAGGCATGAAGGTCCATCCTTGACAAATGATTCCCCTTCCAGCCGATCATATTGGAATAACGGGGCATTGTGGCATACTTGGCCATCTTGTCTTCTAACCCCCAGGATATTAATATCCTTGATGAATTAGGCAAGACTTGAATCCCGGCACCTATTTCTCCAATCTCGGATGCGCTCTCGAGCACTGTGACATCATGCCCTACGAGAAGTATCGCAATAGCAGCGCCGAGACCACCGAGTCCAGCCCCAACGATAACGACCTGAGGAAACTTCAACATCCTTCCGCCTTAGATTGCTTCAATTTTACTTACATGTAGCCGACTTGAAGGATCTCTCTCGACCTTTTCCCATACCTTAGGGGGTGATCTAGAAGACATTTATGAAAGTAATATCTGATGTAGTCGTGGAAATTCGACAGATCAAGCACAAGGAGGATGAGAATCTACGTAGTGGTAAGTAAGGCCGTCGAAGATGTTATTGAAGAAATAGAATCATATTTTCGTACCTAATGAAAACATGAGAACAGAGGTATTTTTCTTTTTAGGAGGTGATAAATGACTACCTTAAAGTAGGCTGTACCTATGAATTTGCTTTTTCCCTTGGTGGCTTGAGCTGGAGTAGTACATATTGGCTGGGTGGCTGGCTGGCGGCCGCTATCACGACACATATGCATTCCTACGTGTATTAGGTGGGAGGTAACATGACTAGGTACATATTATACAGTTTCATCTGTCTTCCTACCTACTTGGGTAAGTAATTGACAACTTAATTGAGTACTCCATATTACGAGAGTACATGGCTATAGCGGCACGCTGGCATGCCGGCTTATCTCCAACCAACACGGTAGAATTATTTCGCCAATGATCATCCCACTCTTGTCATTAATACGTAACGCCCAAAAGATAGCAAGAGTGGGGGAAACATAGCATACACAACAGAGAGGAGGAGGCAGAGTTACCGTGCGCCCGCCCGCTTCGATTACCGAAAAATGCAATTGGATTACTAACTACCCAAAAGTGAATTCGGTATCGTAATTCGGATGGTACCATGGGATTATGCTACTCCCATTTGGAAGCATTAATATGCTCTAACTGACCTTAGCAAAGTGCCTTAACCAGAGCCCCAGAGATCGAAGAATTAAGTACACGGTGCAATCGGCTATGCGACTCTCACTCCCCCCCTCATTTCAATTCCTCGTTGTTGCTCTCTGTGAGAGAATGGGGGTCGTCCATCCTTCGAGAAGCTCGATTCGAGACCTTTTGAAAGTGGTGAATGAGATTTAATGCGTTATTGTGGTTCCCGCCAAGATGCAGCGACCTAAGCGTAAGATTTCAAGTAGTGACGGTACCAAGCGGCTGTTCGCTTGTACTTACGACGGCTGCGGGAAATCGTTCTCGCGGTCTGAGCATCTTCATCGTCATCAGAAGAACCATAGCGATGGGGATGCAACTTGCCCACGATGTCGGGCCCATTTCAAGCGACAGGATCTTCTCGGTAAGACTTCATTGGCCTCGTAGCTGTATATTCCCACACTAGACTCGTAAAGGCTGACGTGGTAGTGTAGAGAGACATCTAAGCCGGCATAAACAAAAGGATGAAGAAGCTGGAGGTGACGGTATCGGTACCCTAAATACGCGGAAACGCATGTGGAAGGACCACGACGGGCGAATTGTTCAGAAGAAACCTATAGACTATCCATCCTTTGGTAATGCCAGTCTGGGAGCGCCGTTAGTAGAAGGACCGATCTCACCTCCTGTGTCATCTCACAATTCAGACCCCTTGAGCGACAACGACCCAACAAATCCAGTATTAGTCGATGATCAGAGTATCTTGCCAGAGTACTCATTGTCGGCGAGCCAACTTGACACTAGCGAGTATTGGATACCTCCAGAAGCATCTCGACCTCGGGTTATCGCACCATCCCCCTTTCTCGATATGAACTATGATGACGTTTTTCAGCCGGATACTGCCAGTTCTTTTAATATGCCATATACAACACAGGTGAATTATGACTGGCTGTTTAGTCTAGATAGTAATTTCCCTGGCACTGCCTTCTCGCAGCCCCCTTACGTTCCCTCTACAACCTTGGCCTCGTATTCTTGCGACATGCAACAGACTAATCCTACGTGTCTGGCCCGAGCCAACTCCTCGTTGGAAGTGAGACAATACGATAGTAGCACTACCGAGAGCCCATTAGCCTCGATGACCTCACAAGACCACGTGAGCCCTCGGACAGGTTCTCAAAATGATACGAGCTCCAGTATCTCAGAGGGAGCTATGATCAGTGTTTCCCCGCCAGAAAAGCGCGTTACCCCTGAGGATACCGGAAGTACCCTTGAGGCGGAATTTGAACGTCCTCTAGCCACACTCCAGCCGCTAGATCACCTACCGCTTATAAATGAGTTCACATATACTCAGATACTAGAAAGCATTAAAAGCGCGAGGCCGTTGGCCCCTAATGGTTCTCTTCTGGATATTAGCCACCCGCTCTTATCTCATGCCTCGTTACAATTGTATTGCGATTTATACTTCACAAGATTCAACACGGCATACCCGTTGATTCATGCGGTCACTTTCGAGCCAGATCAAAAGGAATCACTCCTATTACTGTCCATGATTTTACTTGGAGCAACCTGTTAGTTAATTTGCCATTATCCCCTTGTGTTCCCAGGCGTCTATCTCTAACCCCTATTGCAGATTCAGAGAAAGAAGCGCATCAACTTGCTGTCTGCATACATGATGTGATCCGCCCAGCAAGTGAGTAGCATCAACTTTTTATTTCCACTTCCGTTACCGATATTAACGCCTTGTAGTATTTTCTCACGCGAGCTTCAACCCCAAACCGGACCTTTGGATGCTCCAGACAATCCTGTTAGTCGAATGCTTCGGCAAGAGCCGAGCGGGCCAGAAACAGCATGATATGAGCCACCTCTTCCATGGGATGTTGATAAATCTGATCAGGCGATCTGATTGCCAATCGGTTCGACCAATTAGGCCTTACGGAAATAGTGATAAAGGTGATTCGATAGACAATTGTACTTGGAGGCAATGGGTGGAGGCCGAAGAGAAGAAAAGGTATGTCTACAATGTCGGTCATAAAGATAATATAGGGAATTTACTAAGATTGTTCGATAGGTTGGCACTTCTATGTTTCATGTGGGACACCCAGCACGCCGTTCTGTTCTGCCAGTCTCTATGCATGTCCGCCTTCGAACTTAGGCTACCTCTGCCTTGTAATCAGGTATTATGGGAGGCGCCCACAGCCGCCGAATGGGCGCGCCTCTCGCTCTCCACCGCTCCCGAGCCGATGTACCTCATGGCGCTGAAATCCTACATTACGCATGAGGGATACCGGGTTTCCCACGTCAACGGCCTATCGAGAATTATTATTTTCCATGGTTTAATGTCCATATATTGGGATATGCGAAGGCGGGACCAAACAAGTCTTGGTGTTATTTCCTCACAGGGCGGACGCTGGCATTATCGTCTTGGGACTGCATATCGGGCATGGAAGGCGGATTTCGACGCGTTCTGTCTCCGCGTTTCTGATCTCACATTTAGCGAGATGAACAGCGGTGCCATACCTGAGAATGCAAAGGTCGAGCTCGACGTCTGGCAGACCGCATACGTAGCCGTTTACCACGCTGCCCACGTGCTATTACACTCGGAATTTCTCGATGTCCAGATATTCGCGGGCGCGCGACACATCCTAGGCCGCTCAGTCCAGCGATCTGACTTCATACGATCGGAGAAAGTCGTCAAGCGATGGGCGGCGAATCACGCTGTGCAGAATGTAGGCGAGTCTGACGACGCGGCGTCAGCGGCTTGGCATGCGGCCCAGCTGCTACAGAGCGCATCCCAAAACTTCGCCGACTTTGATTCTATGGGCCTATTCCACGTGCCGTGGTGCTTGTATCTAGCCACCTTAACAATATGGACCTTTCACCATACCGGTGCGAGAGCGCTCGGTGCCGGCCCCGACCATGATAGTGAACTCGTTTGGGACGCTCAGGCAGAGATGCGTGAGATAGTGGATTTGATGGTCGAGGCAGGCATCGGGGGCTTATCCGAAATGCAGGGATTAAAGCGCACGGGCGGGTTAGTATGGGTTATGGCTGAGACACTTAGTAAAGTACGCTGGGGAATAGTCCACGCCGGTGTTACGGTACTCAAAGGCCTGGTACCGTGGAGATTAATAGGTCAATTTGATGATGCCGCTGCTTAAATCACTGTCGGAATCGGTTGGCCCCCAAAGGTCTGGACCCCTAACCAAGAGCTGTGGAACGAGTCATTTACCCAACTAAGGGCGAAGAATTGGCCCCTTTTATATGTGTTGAATGTGAGATAGCTGATATCGTGGATGAGGAAATCTATCTAGACTAGGTAGCGCGTAACTCAGTCGCCTTGGCTGGGAATGCATTATAGGAAGTCCAGTAGTGACTAATCCAAGAAAAATGAACATGTAAATTGAGATGACATGTATCCCGCAGATGAGCTACCAGGTGTAAAGTATACCGTACAACATCCGTAAATGGTGATAAAGAAACCCAGGCTTCGCCATGCAAATATGCCGCTTCCCATTCCGATCATACGTACCTACTCTCTACTTAATTATTACCTTCCATCGGGAACTTTAAGAAACCCATCATAGTACGAATTAAGCCACTCGGCTGAAGTTGCACCAGCATTAACACCTAACGAATCCCACCTACTAACTGACCCTACGTAACCATCAGGTCGTAGAATTACGATAGCAACTTCGTCCTTCTGTAATGTCCCGACCCATTTGCTCGTACATGTCTGTCTGCGGGTATCTAGGTATGGTACGTTGTCTAAGTAAAACGTCCAAGCGCTTCGAGCAAAGAGAGGGGGGAGATCTTGGATCTCAACTCTAGCTTTGTCCATTGTCGCTGCGTTGGGGGTTAGTCACACTTAATACCTAACGCATACGTGTAAACGAGATGAAGGGGGTTTACTTACTAATGAGAGCAAACGTCGTAAGTTCACTGACGGTCGTATACCTCTCGGCGCGCGTGTAGACATCCTCAGCCGTTGGGGTGCGCGGTTTTTCCGCATAACTTGTTGCCGCGGCTTGACTCAGTTTCCTAAACAATGAGTCCTGCTTCGTCAATCCATTACAGAATGTCTGGAGGAAAGGCATGCTGTTATGAATATCCGGCACGAAGAAATACACCCTAAACTGTCCCAGCATGGGGATATCAAGTTGGACATCAATCGGATTCGCATCGATATATCGAGTTACCTTGGCGGGGGGTACGAGACAGCCTGGCCTCAGCTCGCCCCCGCTGCGTTTGGATGGGTGGTTAAGTACGTTATGATCATACTCGACACCAACACCCGAGATGAATCGTACATTCGTGCGGAAGTTCTCAGCAAGAGCTTTAGCATCACCACCAGCCATCTTGTTAGCGTGTTCGTAGTCAAAGTTGATGAGATCGTGAGCAATCTTCCTGCGTTCCATCTCATATGATTCAAGTAGAACAGGCTTTGCTAGACCCCTTGAGGCAAGGTTCAACTTCCAGGCGAGGTTCCAGCTGTCGTGCATACTCGTGTTCATTCCCTGCGCAGCCTTCGGCGAATGCGTATGACTCGCGTCTCCGGCAATGAATGCTTGTAGGTGTGGGTTGGTGAACTTGTTTGCTATCCGTTGGCCAATCTGATAATTACCGAACCATTCTACGGTACGCCATTCCACCGAGTACGGTGCCAAGATTTGCTTGGCACGCTTCATAACGAATTCTTGGCCGAGTTCTCGCAGGTTACCGGTCTCGGTATCCGGTTTTATTTCAACGTAGAATCGAGTGGTGCCCCGTTCCCGCGGGACAATGAGAATAGATCCGTGCACCTCGCTGTAGACCACCGTCTTAGACCAGAGATCCGGGAAATCCGAGATAAGCTCTCCATCAAGCACAGCCCATACAGATTCATGTGACTTGCCTACCGAATATGTATCCGGTATGCAATTTCGTACCTTGGATCGGGCGCCATCACCTAGTCGAATTAGCTAAGGGGTTATCTGAAAAGTGTAAAAAGAGATGATAACTCACATCCCACTATGTACTTGGTTAATGTCGTCTCCTTTTCGCCTGTGGTCGTGGTCTTACTCTCCACCTCTAATAAACCAGCCTCATCTTCTTTCTGCTTGAAGGTTTGGAACTGGTGGCTTCGCTTTACTTCGATACCACGCTTTCTGAGATCCTCTATAAAAACTCCTTCTACAACTCCCTGATGGACAAGGAGAATATAATCATCGAGAAGATCGACCACTAGCGCGGGATAATGAATCTCGCGGCCCAGCCGCCTCAAGCGACGGTTTGCAGTAGCTTCCCAGAAGCATATGTCATACACTTTAGCACCTTTCTGAAGAAGACTATCTGAGAGTCTGAGTTGGCGCAGAGTCTCTATCGTCTTAGGTTGCAACCCATCAGCACGACCAGCTTGTGTTTGGTCTGCTCGTTCATCTATGATCTCGACACTGATGCCGAATCTAGCCAGAAGAACACTGCATGGTTTGGATGTAAGCGTAAATGCTAGATTGAATATGCAAAGATGATGGGGATAATAGTGATATTCAGTGGGAAAAAAGCCTCCTAAATTTTACTTTCACAAATAATGCTCATAAAAGAATTTGATATAAAAAAAGGAAAAATAGAAATGAGAAAAATAAAAACAAGAAAAGAAAAATCAACTTACGCCAACATTAAGCCAGCCGGGCCGGCTCCGACGACGCAGACCTCAGAAGTGTATCGTGATCCGTTGGTTTCACGGCGCTTAGCCGGACCATGACCGTTGAGGTCGCCATTAGTGTCGCCATTGGTGTTGCCGTTTTGTCGCACACCGTTAATCTCATCTACAATCATGACGCCGATGGAAAGCCCGAGACGATTCTAAAGCATGCAAGTACGTCGAACCCTTTTTTTTGGTTTGCCCTCTCTTTCGCTCTAAAACAGAACACAAAAAAAAAACAATAGTAAGGTGGTGGTGGCTTGTTTTAGGTGGTAAAAGAAAGGTAACAGGTCAGCACCTGGGGAGGGACCAGTGGTAATAGTGGTGGTAGTAATTAGTGAGGTAGTGAGGTAGTAGTGGTGGTATAGTGGTGGTGGTTCGTTAATGGCTGACCCGATTGAGGATGAATTGGTTTTTTTTTTTTCTTTCGATCGGTTGATTGACCGATTGACTGGTTGGTTAATGATTTGAGAAGATGGGGAATGGGGAATGCGAAATGGCGAATCGAGGTTTGAGGGACCTGTCCTGCCTATTCTCTGGTCGGGACTCTCGACTCGTCTCAGTAGAATCTCAGTAGAATGGAAACTGTGTATCACCGGCGAACAACGTTCCGTCTAAGTGGTTTGGAGCGAATGAACATCTGCGAGCGGCCTACTTGCGTCTACTTGCGTCTGCTTAGACTATGTTATGTACAGGTTTCTAAGCAAGGTCGTCGCACTGTGCTCAGACCATTGTCAGGTGGTTTAACGCCATTCTCGAACCACTCCGGTGCTTAGGTCGGGGGCTTGAGAGGCTGTGACTGGGTGATGAATGGATGTAGGAGTGTGGGCTGGTCCGGCTGGTCTGGCTTGTGTGGGAAAGAAAAGTGTGGGTTGTTTCGAGTTGTTCTAGACTGTGTGTCACCCCTGACATGTTTTTTTTTAATTCCTTTTCTTGTCTCTTCGTTCCTTCTTCTTTTTTTTTGCCCCTCACCCCATTCTTCCCATTTTTCGCCTTACGTTATGTAGGAAGGCATATACATATAATTACCTAGGTATGTAGCATGCCTGCCTAGTCTGACAAACTCTCCCACTCCCCCCCCATATGAACATTTGAAGATCCTTGTCAGATATCACACCACTTTATCTTTCTTGATACCTACATTAAAGTACAAGCCTACATATAAACCCACTTATACGTATATCTACAGGTATATGCAGTAATTCCTAAACCGGATACCTCCAACTATTATTTCAGCACAAGTAGATAAGTTGGATCAGGTAAATCCTAATGGGGTAAGCCAAGCAAAGCCCCTTATACCTATTTCGGTATATACAGATTAGAAGTCTTATCGAAACGTATCGTGGGCGGTTTACCCCGCTAATGAAACCGACTGGGCCGAAGCGAAGTCCCTGAAAAATGTTCATGTTCATAATTAGAAACAACATGTTGTTAATGGAGTTTCTTATTATGGCACCTATCAGGTATTAATATGCTATGTTTCGGTGGATTAAAGAAACTCCCTTGCATATTAATCGTCTTAGTATTCTCTCCTGATCGATCTGTATGAAACAAGGGGTCTATCTCACGATGGTGGACACTCCAAACACATGGCAGGACAAGGTCCGCTCGAAGCGCGAACCTCAAGCACAAGCATTGGCTATCGCTTCAGATGATAACGTACGTGATATGAAGATGCATTTCGCAATAGCGATCTGTAGTTGGAGTGGCATTTTGGGGGAGTTGCTGAGTTTCATCGAAATAATAGCTTCGAGAACTCGACCTCAGCGTGGTAGACATTGATGATATCACAACACTGGTCGGTCGCATATCCTCGGGCGAACTAAAGTCAGAAGCTGTAACCCGAGCATACATTCACAAGTTTAGTAGCGACTTGTTCATTGTTCAGGCGACAATTGGTGATCATGTTCATTAAACTAATCTTCAAAATAGGGCTATTGCAGCACATAATCAAGTAAGACCGACCGTTTTCTCCTTATCAGGCAATAGCTGACAATGAAATAGACAAATTGGTCAGCTGTCTACACTATCTGGGTAGATTTCCCAATATGTGACTAATCATTGAAGTAGTTTCACCGAAATCCTCTTCCAAGACGCTTTGCAACGCGCCCGTGAGCTCGATAATTATAGAATAAAGCATGGGAATGTCATTGGACCATTACATGGCGTTCCCATCACTATAAAGGATCAATTCAATGTAAAGGGCTATGATAGTACACTCGGATACGTTGGTCGCACATTCAACCCCGCAACCGAGGATGCCGTCCTAGTCGATATGCTCAAGAAGCTTGGTGCCGTTGTATTGGCTAAAACCAATCTTCCTCAAAGCATAATGGTAAGGATCAATCTCGATCTCGATTTTGAAGTTAGGGGTAGTGACATGTCTAATCATGGGAAGTAGTGGTGCGAAACTGAAAATCCTCTTTGGGGACTTACCACGAATCCACTATGCAGTGATTATACTCCTGGAGGCTCAACTGGGGGCGAGGCAGCACTCTTAGCCCTTCATGGTAGTCTCATTGGTTGGGGGACAGATCTTGGTGGTAGTATTCGAATGCCTGCCCATATGATGGGTTTATATGGATTAAAACCAAGCGTAGGAGCTTCGACCATCTAGTGAGATAATTGCCAGTCTAACAACGACTTGTTGTAGAATTCGCGCCTTCCGTACCATGGCGCACCAGTATCAACGGAAGGCCAAGAACACGTCCCCTCGGCTGTAGGGCCACTAGCACGAAATCTGCCGTCATTGACCTTAGTTATGAAAGAGCTGATCCAAATAAAGCCCTGGGAACGCGATGCTCGATGTGTACCTTTATCGTGGAGAGACGAGATTTTCCAGGAATTTAAGGCTAAGCCCCTGACTATCGGCTTGCTTATTGATGACGGGGTAGTCCGACCGCACCCACCTATTAATAGAGTGCTACTATCAGTGGTGGAAAAGCTTCAAGCAGCCGGTCATGACATTGTCGAATGGAATGCCGACCTTCACGCTGAGTGTATTCAGGTCATGGTATGTTACTTCGGATCGTTCCACTTTATATATCTTGGTACCTAATTTTTTGCCCAGGATGAATTCTACACTGTTGACGGTGGCGAAGACATTCGCCGCGATGTCCTCGCGGGGGGTGAACCTTTCCTCCCCCACGTGGAAGTATTAATTAACAAAGGTCAACCCATTTCCGTGTACGATTACTGGCAGCTGAACAAGCGCAAGTTGGTACTTCAACAGGAATACCTCAACAAGTGGAATGGACTCATATCCCCCCGGACAGGGGCACCGGTTGATGTTATAATAATGCCAACCATGCCTCATACCTCTGTGCCTCATCGTTCGTGTCGATGGGTAGGATACACAAAAATATGGAATGTGCTGGACTATTCAGCTTTAATAATCCCAGCGGGTAAAGCTACATCTGCCGATAATGAAGCGCCGTGGAACTATGCACCAAGGAATGTATTGGATGGGTGGAATTCTGGACTATGGACACGACATAAGGAGAAGATGATCGAACTTGGCCTACCAGTTGGCGTGCAAATTGTAGGGAGAAGACTGGAGGAAGAGAAAATACTGGCGATTGGTACCGTTATCGATGAATTACTTCAGCAAACCAACATTGCTTAGAAAGTATCTGCGCAGTCGCTATGCTAGAAGCTCTCGGCTGAGGACTAATAAATATCATACTCCACGTAATTTGTTCGTCATTTTCAAAGTGTTATACCTCTTAGCTTCAATGGCCAATCTACTCGCTTGACTTTTTGAGAATCTCTCCCGCAGCCGCAGGCATCATGGCGCCCTCGGGGGGTTTGTTCTTACTCTTAAAATAGTCACACATCTTTAAGGGGGTCAGCAATTGCAGATAGACTGGGGTTAGCAGGGGATTTACTTCAGCGAATGTCATCCATTCCACTCCCTCATGCTTATTTATATGTTCAATCAATCTATAATCACAGTAAGCATCGTCATGAGAACATTGAAGATAGACCAGCACCTTACCTTTCATGCATGAGAAGCACATGTGGTCGCCCCGAGACGTCGGGGTGGATCGTCATTGGGAAGATGAATTCGTCGTACTCGCGGTAAAAATAATCAAAATGATCGCGCCAGATATCTTCAACGTCCCTACGCTGATAGTTAGGCACCGCCACTGTCAACAGTCATGTTGAATTCTTCCACAAACCTTGGGTTCACCCAACCATGCGAATTGGCCGAGTTTTTCATGAACATCATAGGTGGCAGGTCATCTATATACCATGAACCTGGGATTTCTACCATCCCCGTCGGCTGCCCCTGAACTAATGGTTTCATCCATTCTTCGGCTTTCTTCGAATAGTCGATCCTGATGTGTGTTAGTAACGTTCGCGTAGATAATACGCCCTTACGCATCGTTCATAATGCATTTTTGTTGTTGGGGGGGGGGGGGGGGGGGGGCAAAAAAAAAAAAAAAAAAAAAAAATGGAAAAATGGGAATAATGTTAGCCGTCGCCACAAGCGATATATTTATGTTAAGTGTGTTCTGGGAACCA